ATGAGTATAGCAGTAGTGGCAAGTAGCATAACTGTTGTGCTGAAGGTCGAGACAACGATTCCCTTCGCGATTCGTTCATTCGTTTCGATGGTAAATCGGCCAGGAAATCAAAACCGCCATCAACTTGCTTCTAAACAACACTTGGAAGATTAAGTCGATTGTATCAACCTGGTTGCTACAATCGATTTAACACCTATGATTCGAGCGATCACTGTGCTATTAATATAATCTATTCATAAGACGGATCCAGAGTGGTCTGCTGGAGAGGGGGGAGGGGGGCGACCGGGATGCAGAAAAGAGTTTTCTTCAGTTTTGGCTCTGCTACCTATGCCGCTGAGGGGGGAAGGCAAAAGGCCTATCGCCCCCTCCCCCTCCTCCTCCTCCCTCCGCTCTTTGTCCGATAGTGGGTCTGTTTGTTATTTATTCAAGTAATTGATTGATCATAAGTAATTTTGGTTACTACAGACATTGTATAGCACTTGTAAATTATGCAAAATGCGGTAAAATATGAATCATAAATGATGAAATCAGAATGCTATTGCTGTGTTGTTTTTCAGTGAAGAAATGGAAGAATACGAAGAAGCGGACACTCATTCCTGGTTTGTTGTTTTCCTGAAATATTGAACAGTTTTCCTTTTATTGATGTTGACTCTATCCGGACTGGCATGATGGTACTTGATATTGGTGTTTGTTTTTTTGTTAATGAATGGATGTGATTTAATGTTGTTTTGGTAGAAAACTGGACCCACTTCGATTTATTTTGATTTTTTTGATTTTGATTTTATTTTGATTTCGGTTTTCTTCTTAAGATATTGTGCGGGTAGTGAGCGTAAAAATTTTATCGACTTTAGTTTTCTTAAAAGAATTTATATTTAGAACACATGAATGTATGTTTAGAACACTTGAATTGCCATTGATGCAGCTGGCAACTTCTCCATTCGATTCGTTGTTGGGCTCTCCGAGTCCACGCGATACCATACAGGCGTACCGTGGGTCCTCCCCACCTCACACTGGTGGCCTCCTCAGTGTTCGCTTGACTGTGCGCGGATACCATTCCATTATCCACTTCGCCCATCTATTATCTGTCAACCCATACCACATGACCAGCCCATCTCTTCTTGCTGGTGTACATTGCTTCAATAATATCTTTCACGCCAGATCTGGCCCGGAGCACTTCATTTGGAATGTGCTGCAGCCTGTTGGTGCCAGCCATCCATCGTTCCATATTATTAATTTGTAGCAAATAAAAGAGGGAGATTAATATAGTCAGAGTAAAGCGAAACTGTAGGAAATAAGTGGGAATGTAAGCAGAGAAAGTGACGGTTCTCATTATTTTTCACCTGGAGAAGCTTTTCTGTTTTTCTCTCTGTGCAGTGCACTGTGGTGAATTGTGGAGTTTTGTTTTTTCCTAATATGCACTTTTACCTTTTGCTCTAACTTTTTTACATTATCAAAATTCCCCTTTTTTTTATCTTTTGACACTTTGCATGTTAATTTTGCTGCAACCATCACACTGACGAGGTCCAGTTGCAGCACTGAACAGGAATGTATGCCACTTGATGGACCGAAACATACCTATTCAGGTTTTTTAATCCGATTTATTTTATTCACCCTCCTTTTATTCCTTTTAAACCTTACTTTTTACATAAATATACATCGTTTAAAATTAAAATTACAATGTTTTTTGAGGAAGTGCTCTTTTCAGTCTTAGCTTTTAGCCCTAAAATATCCTACCAACTTCAAGTCTTATCATTGTGCCGTACAGTATTGTGCTTGGTTTTAAGTCTTATCATTGCACAACGTACTGTACAGTTGGCTTTGAATCTTATCAGTGCTCGACACATCTCACTTTTATCAGTGTATTGCCGCACTTTTCGCTTGTGAATTTAGTTTTCTGTGTTTTTTTTTCGTTTTTTTTTAAATGTTAATCAAATTTTACAGCATTTCAATGGCTTCAAACAGCGGTGGCGAGTTTGTCGAGGTGCTGGATGTGGTGAGTGAAAGTGAAATGTACGGCAACGAGGCAGCAGCTTCTGCATCCGCACGAAGAAGACGAAAAATGGAGCCGGAAGCACCGGGACTGATTTCTTTGTTCGTCGATGACCGACAAACTGCTGATTCAACAGCTGCTGTAAGTTAATTTTTATTAAATGCACCTGCAAAGAATTTTTGGAAGCTTGCCAGATTGCGTCTTCCGAGGGCGAAAGGCAGAGGGGCTAGATTGGGGGCAACGAGAAATGGAGGGAGGGAAGGGGGCTTATGATACTGAGTGCAAATCCACTTTGTTTGTTTTTGCGGATAAGTTGCTAATTCAGGGACCTGAAGAGCTAGAATGCTGAAATTTTGAGAGGATGTTCCCCGTCCACACACATTCTAATGACTTCAAATTCAGCCCCTAGGTTTGCGTGGTTCTCACGTGCAGGCTTATGGAAATTTTTTACGAATAATTTGCTAACTCGGGGAACTGAAAATTTAAAAAGCTGAAATTTTAACCGGAATTCTTTTCACAGTCTTGGTGGCCACCTTCTTTTAACTAGAGACATTTGCCGGAAAAAACAGTGCTGTTAGCGACAAAAATCTGCGGGGAACTGTGCAAAAAACGCATCTTCCTATCGGCAGCCAGTGCGAAGAGCGTTTTTTTATTATTATGTCCCGGATGTACCTACGCATCGAAGAACTTGGCCCGACCTGCGTGGGGGTGTCCCAGTGTTACCGCTAACATGGGGTACTCCCACTGATTATTCGGGGTGGTTTTTGGTATTAATTTTTTCAGTGTACAAACTGTTAGTCTGTCAGAACGATGTTCGTTTAGTGTTTATATAGATTTAAGGCGGTTCTTCGGATCATTTTACTGGCAGCAACTTTTTCAGAACCAGGACGAAGCAGCAGCAGCAGCGGCAGCAGCAACATCACACGATACTGATGACATTGATGCTTCTACGGCACAAGATGAAGCAAGCAGTGACGTGCAGTACTCTGTCTCCGACCCATCGACCACCGTACAGGATGAAGCAAACAGCGGCGTGCAGTACTATCTTGTGCCAGATGATGACGATGATGATGATGAGGAGGAAGAGGAGGAGGACGAAGATGAGGATGAGGATGAAGATGATGAATTTGAGGATGAGAATGATGTTGATGTTGATATCGATGAGGCAAACAATCTTCCCATTGCTGATGAGGACGATGAGGTGATGCGCGAGTACCGTAATATAGTGTCAGAAGTGGAGCAACTTGAAAGAGGTTTGCAACTTGAAATATGCCTCCTTTTAAACCCGTTGTTTACTGGCAAAACATTATCGCACAAACGGTTTCGAATCATCATCTTTTGTAAAGAGAGGAATTCAAAGGAAATTTTGCTTCTTTGGGGCTTATTTATTTCAAAAAACTTGTGATTGCTGTAAGCCTTCTACCTTCCAGTGTAAAAAAAAGATATAAATTCCACAGTTCGGACTTTCCAGGAAAAGGTATTTTCCACGGTTTGGACCGGCCGTTAATTTCAAGTAAATTACGGCCCGGTCGACCGCAGGCCGTAAATTATTTATCAATTTAACCCACTTCGGCCGCTCCACTTGGACCGTCCACTTATGATTCGGCCTTTTGATGGGCGCTA